CCAGCCAGGACAAAAGGAGGTCCCACAAAGCGCCTACACCGGCCGCATTTGCGGTCGGGGTAGACGACGGATGGGGCCCACCTACGAAGGCTGTATAAAGAGGGATAATCCCCCTCGATCCCAAATCATTGAGGCCAATTTCTAGCCATAGAATAATGGCGCGAACAAGCTCTCAAACTAATGCAGATAGCAGTAAGTGGGAGGTAAAATTTCTCAGTTCAAACTCACTTCCGAAAATTAAAAGAAACGCACAATTAACTGAGTCATGACGTCACATGTGATATTAATGTGATTTTTCTTGCAAAAGGGAAGCAGCTTTTGTATCCACTCCATAATCCAGTCATTTAAAAATATTACAACTTATTATTGGATTGTATATAATATTATATTTTATAATACAAATAAACAAACATATTGGTCGTACTTTATTTTCATAAAAATAACCCTTGACTGATCCTTTTGGTGCAAGGATTTAATTCATTAACTTTTTTAAAGGTAGCAAAATACTTCATTAAATACAAAAAATAAAACTGAAAAATAATAATAAGTAACTTTAAGATAATTTTTCGTTTTCTTTAAAATATTTAGTATGCCATACCAGGTAATGGTAAAATAATATTGACAAAGGTTTTCTGTCACTGGTTACCTTTTTACAACCGTATCATTCTAAAAACTAATTTCAAAAAATATTTGAGATGTAATTTGAAAAAAAAACGAGAAAAGTTTTTAAAGAATACTGAAGTAAGATATATCATCAAATCTATTAAAATATCCACAATGATTCCACAAAAATTGATTATTCAAGTATATAGGAGGTGGTGTAATGGCTCAATGCCTGTAGCACCCGATTCACTGATTCTGTATATGCATAAGACACTCTGTATATAAATCAAATGTGTTATATAAATTTCATTAAGACTTCAGTAATAGATTTTTGTATTAATTAATATCGGTATTCCTGGTTTTAAGTTGGACACACACATTCGTCCTACAGTGAGTTATCAGACAGTGGTAAACATAAATTTTTCACAAGAGCAGAGTGGTTAAGACCACAAAAGAAATAAAGAAAAACAAGGTATAAATTTTCCGTGCCCCGTCTCAAATCTAAGACTGATTACCACTGAAACATTTTTTAGGAACACTGTGTAGAGTACATACTTTGTTGGTAAATTATGCTTTTGTACACCTGTATTTTTTTTAAATCTTCTAAAGTAAAAATATATTTTACAAAAACAGGATGATAAATAAATTATACCATATTTTCTGCCTTGTATTTATTTATTTATTTATTACAAATTGAATGATTCAGTTTCCAGGCACTGTGATTGTATTAATGTGCTATCTAGCAGAAGAAAAACAGTACAAGTAAAATTTACTTAAACATTTAATGTTTAAGTCTAGTAGATACTCGGAAAATCTATCTTATGAAAATATAAAAATTTTTAAATCGTTACTATTTTTAATATATCAACGTTGGTGAATTTTTACAATAACATGCTTCTTTCATTAATAATTTCTCAACATTTCCCTTTTGAAATTTAACAACAGAATCTGATGGAAAATTGACATACAATTTTAAACAGCCCCTTGTTAAGAGAATACTTTGTGGTTCCTTGGCACTTAATTTCTTTCTTCTATCAGACTTTGTTTCCCTCATATTGACTGGTATCCGTTTTTCTGGTATTCCACTTGAACTGCGTTTACTAGTAGTAATTATTTGTTCTTCAATGGTTGGTAAGGTTTCAGCTCTTTTTACAGGTACAGATTTGCTACGAATTCTAGTGTGAGGTTTTTTTGATGGTTCCCAAGGAATTCTTTCTTCAGGGATCTAGAAAGTTATTGTTTAAATAAGTACCTACATTTTTAATATAAAAGGTACAAAGCATAGTCATCTCTACAAAAAGAAAATTAAATTAGGTAGATAAGCATACTGTGGAGTTCCTCTGTAAATAATAATAACAATGATCTTTGCAACATATTTTGTTGCTTGATTTATTTAACTTGCTATTATTAAATATTAGTTTATATCATCCCAAAAAATGTATTTAACTATCAGTATTTAACACTAATAAGCAATCTATTAAGTTTTTTAAATTAATTGGTTATTGAAAAAAAGTTCTGAGGGAAAGGTACATGTAGGTTCTATCTAAACGATATACAAACTACCAATTTCCATTAAAAAATTTTTTGAGATGCCATAAGTGCTATAAGGTATATTTTAATAGATACATGTCCACGGATTGAGTTTACAAGAAGACAAATAGACCAAAAATTGAAAAATACGAAAAAAAAGGCATTCTTGATAAAAGTTGTTGCTTGTTTAGAAAACACGAATCACCATAACGAACTTCAATTTTGTTGTACAGAGTGGGTCAAAAACACAAAAGTGTTATTTTGCGTAAGAGTAAACATACTTTATTTTGCAAGATACGTAATAAAAGCTGTCTTGATAAAAGTTTTTGCTTGAAAAATGAATAAGAGTCACATCAAAATCATTTTTTATACAGGGAACAAAGTACAAAACTAAAATACGTCTTATTCAAGTGTAATTTTTAAATAATACGAACATAACAACATAACAAAAACAATTAAGCTAAAAAAAGTAAACAAGATTTCAAATTTCAAAAACACCACTCCCATATTGAACACATTTTTCTAATTGCTTTCTTAGATATCTGAAGGAATTTCTGATCTCTTCCTGGAATATTGAACGTGAATGGACATCCTGGGTAATTCTGCCTTTTAGCATTTCAATATTATTTGGTGTTGGAATAGCAAAAATAAAACCATTACACATTACAACATTACAACCATTACAAAATACATATTTTGTCGGAAATTTAATGGTAAATTTTCCAGTTCATCACTAAAAAATGTATCAAACATTTCTAAGTACATACTATATTCTATTGCAGGTGTTATTGTAAAAATATGGGCCTTTAATGCCATGGACAGATATCGAGCACCACACGTTCACTTTTGTAAAATATTGTCTTCATGTCATTATTCTAAAATCAGGGTTTTCTGGAGACCAGTACTTGACGTGTTAGGATGTTACAGTTCCATTAGTCCTTTAGAGATTATTTTGGGAGCATTCTCAGTAAGCCCCTCTCGGGTGAACATCGAAATCTTGGCACGTTTAATTGTACTAACTTTCCTTCAATAACTGTTAATTTTCTGACTGATGGGGAAATTATAAACTCAGCTGGAAAACTTAAAAATGAATTCACGTCAGGTCCGGACTTAATTCCCAGTTTCTTTGCTCGTGATTGTCGTTTCGTTTTGGCTAACCCGCTGGGATATATATTTAATCTCGCTCTTAAAACTGGAACTTTTCCTAGCGTGTGGAAGAGGGCAAGTGTTTGTCCAATCCTCAAAGGCGGCGACCCTTCTTACATTAATAACTCTAGGCCCATTACTTTGTTATGCAATTTTGCGAAGGTCTTCGAGATGTCGTTGTATAATCCGTATGTTTCCACTTTTCAGGGGCATCATATCTCTTGAACAACATGGTTTTATAGAAAAAAGATCAACTACCACAAATCTGATGTGTTTCACACAGTTCATATGTAATGTTATTGATCAGCGTGGGCAGGTAGACGTCATATACACCGACTTCTCAAAGGCCTTCGATCGCATTGATCACGGCATACTCCTCCATAAACTCGAAGTATACGGGCTTTGTAGCAACTTTTTACAACTGTTTAGCTCATATTTGTCAAATCGTCTTCAGTATGTCACTTACAACGGTTTTAAGTCTAGCCAGTATTCTATTACTTCTGGAGTACCTCAGGGTTCGAATCTAGGTCCCCTCCTATTTTCCATCTCTGTTAATGATATTAAGACTTACATTGACTGTCGCAAACTAGTTTATGCCGACGACTTAAAAATCTTCTCCTCTATCTTAACTGATGATGACTATAGTCCTTTGGTGCGATTCAAATAATTTGCATTTAAATATCTCTAAGTGTAAAGTTGTTTCTTTTTCACGTAAACTTAAGCCCATTATAGTCAATTACAAAATTAACTCGGACGTCTTAGAGCGTACAGATACCATAAAAGATTTGGGAATTTATTTCGATAGTAACTTTACCTTTTCAAATCATATTCAATATCTGGTGTTCTCAACACTTAGTACGCTGGGCTTTGTGATTAGACAAGCTCGCGAATTCAGTGATAATGTTGTGTTGTTTTCATTATTTTACGCGTTTATCCGTCCCAAACTGGAATACTGTTCTCCGGCTTGGATTGTTTTTTATATTAACCAAACCAGTTTAATTGATTCGGTGCAAAAAAAGTTTTTGAAATACCTCGCATTTCGCTCCGATGGCGTATATCCTGCTAGTGAATGCGATTATAAAATACTACTAACAAGTTTCAAACTCGACTAGTTACAATACAGAAAGCACTTCCATAGTTTGAAATTTTTACATGCACTAGTAAACAATAAAGTAGACTGTCCCGAGATTCTAAGTCAAATGAATTTCTTAACAGTTAGGTCGGCTTGCAGCTCTCCACTTACTTTTTATACTTCTGCTTATAATACCAATGTGGGATTGAAGTCTCCTGTTTCTTTTATGTCACGCAATTATAACTTAATCTGTAACTATTGTGATATATTCAACTGTAGCTTGCAACATCTGTACACAGCTTTTAGAAGAGTCAACAATTCATGATTGTTAACATAGGTAGTAGTTGCAGCTTTTCTTTTTCTTTCTTCTTATTTTCTTTTTCATTTGTTGTTACACTATCTTATCGGTATGTTTGTTGTATTTATTCTTTACATTTTGTTCTGTGCTCACATGTTAAATAATATATTATATACTTTGTCCTGTAATTGGTGGTTCACTGTTGGACAAATAATTTAAATAAATAAATAAATAAATAAATTAGTAAAAAATGTACATTCAGCGGAAAACATAATAAACTTATAAAAATCAATATTTCCATTTTTGTCTCATACCCTCAAAAAAATCTATACTTTTCACTTCATCTCCCCCTTCCAATGTTTGATTAAAGTATGGTTTGAACAGAAATATTTTATTTTCTTTTAAAATATTCAGAATATGACTGTTTCACAACTTTTAATTGTTTAATACAATTTCTAAGGGACATCACATGAGTTTCTCTAACAGACTGCAGGACTAAAACTGTGGCAGCATACTCTTACGCAAAATAACATTTTTGTGTTTTTGACCCACCCTGTACAACAAAATTGAAGCTAGTCATGGTGATTCGTATTTTTTAAACAAGCAAAAACTTTTATCAAGAATACTTTTTTTTGTATCTTGCAAAATAACATTTTTGTGTTTTTGACCCACACTGTACAACAAAATTGAAGTTCATCATGGTGATTCCTATCTTCTAAACAAGCAAAAACTTTTATGAAGAATCCCAAGTATTTTTGAAAAGTAAATTGGCAATTATGTAATTTATTTAATTTTATACAGAGCCTTCATAAATGATTACAAGCCACATGACTAGAAATTTTGTTTGGAACAATAATTTTATTTCCTTGTTGGCAATTAAATTTCGGTAAAATTAAAAATTATTAAAACAATAAGAACAAGACGACATTAAAACATTCTGTTTCACCAGCTGTGATTGATGTAATTCTATTCAACAAATCAGCGACAGCATTATCTCAAGCGTAGGCGTAACAGTTCGTCATTGTTCGTTGTAAATGAATGATTAATATTAGTAACGCCAAGATTTAGGGAATTTTCATTACCAGTACTAACCCTGCAATGTTGGTTGACTAAGCTTGGCGGACACGTGACTTGTAAACATTTATGAAGGCTCTCTAGTTATACAATTACCTTTATATCCTTCATTCTTGTTGGTGTACAAGCATAGCACTTAGACCTTCTACTTTTTGCTACTATTGTATTATTTTGTTCATTATAATGGTCAATAGTATCCATCTCAGGGGGCTCTATATTATATATTGCAATTTTGTTTAAGAAATTTGGCTGAGGAGTTCTCCAAAAATTGTCTAGTCGACTGGTTTTCATGATATAATCCATTTTTTGTAATAACAAGAAATTATCTCTTTCAATTTTTCTACATCTTTCATTTTCGTTTTGTTGTTTTTTTAATTTAATGGTCACATGACTTCGATATGCTGGAGGACTCGTATCTATTGCTGGCAATGCAGATTGTACCTACATATAAATAACTTGAAATCAACTTCAATTCAACTTAAAATTGTAAAATCATGAAATAATATTTGTATGTTATCACCAAGAAAAAGGGTGTAAATATTTAGGGTTGCCAAAATCCAGTCAAAGAAATATTTCAAATAAATTTCAGACAAAGATTAATAATTTCAATTGCAATAAAAAATTCTATTTGCATATATTTGCATTCTGATAACTACAATATTCAGATACAATCAGATATTTAGTTCTATAACAAAATATAAGCAATTTTATACATAAAAAATTGCCAATAAATTCTATATTAGTGTTAGTCTTTATGCACTAGAGATAAAAAAAAAAAATTACTTTTATATAGTACCTAATCCCGAACCCCAAAATGTTTGGGTCAAAATGATATTGGCAATCCTATAGATATTTCAACAGTTTTTTATGTATAAATTTCTATAATTTCTTCAGTACTTAAACCAACTGAGAATTATTATTATTAAAATTTTTAAATTTAAATATAAGTAAGTACAGTATAATAATATTGTCACAGTTGAGAAAATGACCTGTGCTATTAAGTACTGTCAACTTTTAAATAGTTAAAAAGGAGATAATATTGATGACTGCATTAGACATAATTTTTACACAACTTATATAAATAATAAATTCAAATTTTTTTGTCACTATAATGATTTTGTATATGTGAGTGACAAATATACAAGATGTTTTTAAACGAAGGAGTAAGAAATGCTATCAGAAAATCTTGTCATCAAAATAAGACCATTTGGTCAAATATATCTCCGTTAAAAATTTCTTTATTTGTAAGTTATAGGGAGTTTTAAGTTTTTCAAAAGTATAAATACATAAATATTTAGAAAAATATTTGATGTAAATTAATGAAACAGGCTGGACAAATCTACATAAAAATAATAATTCACTTTATTTTTATACAATTATAACAAATAGTAGCAGAGATACTGTAAAAGATTCTTTTCTTTTAAAAATCAATTGTGAGAAATAAACTAATGAATTTGCAAAATACTTAGTAGCGTAAAAATTCTGAGGATCTTAATAAGGATATATTTTGGCATCTCCATCACTGGCTGACCTAATTATATTTAAATTTGATGAATTATTACCGTTATTTAGTGAAGTCATCAATCTAAGTTGTATTGATCTAGTCAAACATCTGTGGATTTGCGATATTTTTCAAAAAGTTGAACACATCACAAATGAAGCAACTTTGGACTAAGGAATATGTAGCCTCAAGATTATCAGATAGCAAAAATAACCGAATTCTTACAACATAAGAAAATAAGATGACTAAGAACAGTAAGTATTGATCACTTTCATATTACCATTGGGTACCTACCAATTTAAAGAATAAACTTATTAATTGACTACTGCTTATTGATAACGTTTATTGATATGTATATTATATACTGCCATTTGTTTTCTTGTTCAATTTTGAAAAGGAAATTATGGAGTTATCTTTTTTGTTATATAAAGTAAAATGTATAAAATTAAATTAATCAACAAAAATCACCTTCCGTCTATGATTTTCAAATTTTCGTTGCTGCCAGGGCCTTACTAATAAATTATCCTTTCTTGATATCATTGGTAATATTAATATAAGTATTTTTATATTACGAAAAATAGGAGCTTGTATATTCTTCAGTTTACTGTACGGAACAGAAAGTTATCAATTTTTCAATATTTCAATTATGTCTTCTTTTCTTACTTGCTGCTTATTTCCATCTGATTGTTTATGTATTATTCCTCTTTCTAATCTGTGGTATATTATTATTGTATTATTAGGCCTATTCCTTTGCACAGAAAGTGTAGTACTAGCTGCACTGAATAGCCAGTTATCGTTCCTTTGCAAGAGAGTGTTGCATTTTACACCACACTATCTTATTCCACTGCTCAGTGTTAGTTGCACTAGTGCAGTTTATCTACACCTAGCCTGAGCAGGAGTGAAATGCACTGGACATGCGCAGTCTGCGCTATTGGAACATTTCACAATTCTTGTATCTTAGAACCAAATAATCAAATAGTGTTTTATTTATCCTAGTGTTTTAAAAACTCTATCAGAATATTTGGGTACAATTTCTTCTACATATATACTGTTTAATTGAATGTCGTTTATCTCTTTTAAATAAACTATCACTCGAACTTGAATGAAGATCTACTAATCTATTGTCTAAAAAGTCATCGTCACAAAAACACCTACGACGTCCATAATTAATGCTTAGTTAGGAAAAAAATACAGTTTTCAGATTTAGAATATATCCTAAACTTATATTATTGTACAGCTACACCATCTCACACTTCGTTATTCCTTTGATCCTAACAGAACTTTTGCACCACTCTGATCAGCTGGTTTTCAGTGTAATGTAATTTACACTACACTGAATAACAAAGGAAATAACTTATTAAAACCATAGATTTAATACTATTTTAAATCTATGATTAAAATATAGAACATAGACCTTATAAACTATTAGACACAAAACATATAATCTTCTAGTTCAAACACTGTCATTTTGTCAATAAACGGCAATCGCACAGACGTGTTCGAGAGAGATAGAACTAGTGCAGGCTAAAACTACGTATTAAGAATTAGGTACAGTACTTCTTAAAAAAAAACTCTAAAAGTAACAAAATTTACTAAAATACATATATTTATTCTTTATATTAATTCAAACTGAATTAAATTCAATTTCTATTATTTTAATAATACATATTTGTATGAGTAATTTTAATTATTTATTATTAATAAATAAGAGTATAAGCATTTTTTGTTTATATGCAATTTCTGTACAAATTTGAACTTAAAGGGGGAGGTGTAATAATTACAAATTTAAAAAGAAATATATTTTATTACACATCATTAAAAAATATTTACAGTTTCAATTTTGCAGTTTTTATAATGCCTTTTTATGTATTTCTCCATTTATTTTCCTCACAACGTCAGCTCGATCAGTTAAATAAGTTACTGCAAGCTCTTTTGAAGTAGTTGTTTCAAATAGTTCATATTTTCTTTGCAAAACTGCATAAATTGAAACTATTTTCCTTCTACAAATGTTTGCCTTAGCTTCAGTTTTCTTACATAATCTTGGCTGGACTAACTTCACAAAATGAACATGCATGATGATTCGTGATTCGTGAAAGTCAAAAATCATCACAAATCATAACAACAGCTACCTTAAAACACATATAACACCATTTCTATTTTGTTAATCTCGTAGATATACTTTATTAGGTTAATTCTCATTAAAAATATCTAGACAATTTTTGTTGCAATTTGCAATGCTATACAAGATTAAAAAGTTCTTACTTAATTACTGAAATTAGTTCTAATTTTAGCATAGTGTCATACGACCCTATAAGTATTGGTAGTTATACAGGGTGTCTTGTCGTATTCCACCCTTCGAGCGAGCTTCAGGATTTCAGAACACCCCGTATATTCATAGAAGTAGTCTTGTACCTACGGATATGCCGGAGACCGCTGAATTGGAAAGGAGGCGAAACAATCATATTCACCTACCTTTCCAATCCCAACCAAAAATCCGCCACGGTTGCAAAATCAATTGCCGTCGGCCGGGCAAAATGAAAAAGCCTCTATGAGAGTCTTTAGACATCGATCCTCTCGGCGATAGCGCTTCCAGAGCGTTAAAGACCAATTTCACCGATGTTTCCAATGTCACCCGCATCGCGACTGATCTCGCCTGGGTCTGCCATCCCGGCGCACAGTGTCCACTGCCGCTATTCTCGCAACCTGCAGTCGAACCCCGGGACGCTTCAAGGCGATATTTGGAAACAGTCATTAGAAATTTCACCACCCTTTTAAATTGGTCAAGGACGCTATTGCCAATAACTCCAAAAGTTATTGAGCGATCGATGTCAAAATTTAATGCAGCACTCCTCAAGTAGCTAGCATTATCTCACTAAATTTTCGTCCGAATCGGATGAGCCAAAACGCCGTTATACGGGGAAACGCGGATTTCACGTTAGTAGATAGGCTATGTTACTACGACGCCAAAATCCCATGTATTTTCTTATGAAGGTTCATCCTGGTCATTTTTGACGAATTTTACCCCCACTCCTCCTCCTTTTCCCTTTCCCCTCCCCTTCCCCGCCAGCCAATCAGAGTGCAGCATTTTTTTGCGGGAAATTCAAAATGTAGTCACCTAGGGCTTTGCCCCACCTAGGGCTTTACCCCACCTAGGGACCTCATGCAGGTATCTTCATGTAGGTATGTAGAATTCCCCACGTAGACAAGAGTATTGAGCGTAGGCCTCCGCGTGTACTCCGCGTAGATATACCTAAATTGTATAGGGCTTCGCCTGCCACCGCGGGCCCCAACGTAATCGAGCGGTGACATAGACAGTAGCCGCGATTTTCATTTCGCAATAGTAGTTTATAACGCAGCCGAGCAGGTGTCCGTAGATGGCGCTATAAGTGGAGCGCGGTAATGTAATCATAAATGCCTGAATATTTAATTATTACAGACTACGGCTAAAAAATATTTACTGGAATTTACTGTAGGAGTGTTTGTTAAAATAGAACAGAAAGGGTCAATCCTTCTTCGTCTTAAATGTTCATATATATTTCTTAAGTTCATATTAAAGCCCAATGGTAAATTCTTTTAAATAGCAAATTGTATTGAAATAGAAATTATTCCGCTTAGGTGTAATAAAAAAACCAAGTCAACAAACGCTAGCACAGCTGCCTTTGCTGTCTCATCAAAACAGCCAGTGGCCTGTTCTAGCGATATCAACTGCAGTCACTGCACTATGCGGCTTTTCTTGGCTAAGACTGTTAATAATCAATTTTATAATTAGTCATAAAATCAATGAGTTTACTCTGCTTGTTTTTTTGTTAAAAGTTTCTCGAATTATTATAGTGACTGGTGCTTCTTGTGTGTATCCTTTTGGATAAAGAAAGGTAAGTCTATATACACATTTTCAATTAAAAACGTAGCTTTGTATAGCAGTTATAATCTTAAACGGCAATTACTTCTCATAGTAAAAAATTCTATAACTAAAAATATTAGCATTAAATTCTAAAACAGTCAAACCAGCTACCAAAATTAGTGGTATATTAAACAAATTCACTTACACGTTTATTATCTATCGAAAAAAAATTCTATTTAAAACCACCATTATACAGGGTCTTATTTTAGCAGTTGACAAAAAACAATAGCTACTGGGCCTTTATAAAAGTTACAAATTAGTTAACAACAAGATGGTGGCTAAAAATCTAAAGAATTAATTTTTTATATTATTATTTTTATAGACAGCGGAAAGACAGAGAGAGAGAGCAGCGTTGAAAAGGCATGCATTTTGGTTACAGAATGACAGAGACATGGAAACCAAAAACAAGGCATACGAAGGGTAAGTTGCTTTAAATTTCATCATTTCATATTGCTTTTCAGTTTTAATACATAGTCTGTTCTAAAACTATAATTAGCCCTTAAAATGGCTTATTTCTAATAAAAATCGTATTTAAAGCATTAATCTTTAACTGCAATTAGGCAAATTATTTTTTTTTTTTCATAGGAAAAAATTCTATAACTAAAAATATTAGCATTAAATTCTAAAACGGTCAAACCAGCTATCAAAATTAGTGGTATATTAAGCAAATTCACTTACACGTTTATTATTTAAAGAAGAAAAATTCTATTTACAACCACCATTATACAGGGTCTTATTTTAGCAGTTGACAAAAAACAATAGCTACTAGGCCTTTATAGAAGTTACAAATTATTTAACAACAAGATGGTAGCTAAAAATCTAAACAATTAATTTTATATTATTATTTTTATAGACAGCGGAGAGAGAGAGAGAGAGTGTAGCGTTGGAAAGGCATGAGTGTCAGCCACAGGACGACAGAGACATGGAAAACAAAAACAAGACATACGAAGGGTAAGTTGCTTCGAATATCATTATTTCAGATTGCTTTTCAGTTTTAATACACAGTCCATTCTAAAACTATAATTAGCTCTTAAAATGGCTTATTTGTAATAAAATCATATTTAAAGCATTAATCTTAAACTACAATTACTTTTCATAGTATAAAATTCTATAATTAAAAATATTGGCTTATTTCAACAAGAAAACAAGATAAAAAAATCCCCAAAACATATTAACATTCTAAAAACTATAATTTAGCTGGTAAAACAACTTATTTATACAGCAAAAATTACTTAATCGTAATAAACGTTAACTAACCGAAAATTAAATAAAAAGTATAATCCTCCTATAATACAGGGCTTATTATAATAACTGAAAAAATGAACCAAAAACAATTAAACAATAGGTACGACGACGAATCTTTATCGAAAAAAGATAAATACAATTTACTAGAATCTTAAAAATCGAAACCAAAATCAGATTGAAATTTTTTTTATTTAAAACCAGTATTATACAGGGTGTTATTTTAGCAGTTGAGAAAAAACAATAGCTACAGGGTCTTTATAAAAAGTTATAAATTATTTGACAACAAGATGGCGGCTAAAAATCTAAAGCATTAATTTTATAGGCAGTTGAATGTCTAACCAGGACAGAAAGGCATGAATTTCGGCTACAGAGGCATGAAGTTCAAAACAAGATAACAGAATGACAGAGACACGAAGAAAGAAGGCATACGAAGCGTAAGTTGCTAGATTTTTCTGCATTTTAGATCGCGTCGTTTGTACCGATTCAATACACAGTTAAATATGCTGGCTTGATACGGTACCCGTGTCGTGTAGGGGTCTATCTTAAACGATTACCTAAGGGTAATCATTGGATTTTTCCTTGCCAACGAAAAAAGGTT